TTATTACTATTACTGAAGGTTACTCGCCATGCCAATACCAACTAGACAGTTAAATCTTAATGTAAAATGAGTAACAGTAGGGTGGACATTAGGTAAGGCTGCACTTTTTGCAGCGACCTCGTATAGAAAACAGGTTAACAGGAAAACAGGTCCGCGGCTCCGAACTGTAGTAAAGGTATCTCTGGCTAATACGTTGGGTTCCGTGTCGGGTTCCGTGTCGGGTTCGTAACCGAAAACTAGCTTTACTTTGTTGTCTGGATCAACTTTGCTAGCGAGAGACAGAGAGATGCATTGAAAGGCTGCTCCAAAAGGAACTTATTGTTTCGGAGGAAAACCAACACAGTCGAGTCTTAATAGCTTACTTACAACTAACTAACTTAGTCCTTGCTCTTCCACGTCAGTACTGAGACCTTGAAAACTACCATAGTGATGGAAGAGACACACCCGTGGGAGAGATTCATACATTTTTATTTTGAGATTGACCTAAACTATGAACACATTAAATCAGTGCTTTGCAGTAAACACAGTTTTTATATAAGTGAGAGACATCTGAAGAGGTGACACACTCACCGCAAGGCATACTCTGACCTGGAGAAAAAAGTTTTGTCGCCATCTCCCAATAGTATATCTTTTTTTCCATTTTTTTTTCAATGTCTCTTGCAGTGCTCTGTGCAAAATAAACACCAAACTGAAAAACATTCACCAAGCTGAATCCAAGTCAGAAAAGAAAAACATGTAGGATATTTAGTGGCCTGAAATGTATTAATCCATAAAGCCTAACTAGTCAAAACTCCTTTGTGTGTCTTCGTATTGAAAGATGGTTCTGGTCATTTCCAATGGTTTGTATCATAAATGAGCTACGTTAATGAAAATCTAAGTAATGTCTAGCCATGGCGTAATTAAAAGTACCTATGCATGAGGCATATCAGTTGTGTTTGAGTAGTAAAAGATACTGTACAAATTAATGCTCTCCTTTTCCCCTATTTGAGGTTTAGGTAGCTTCATCTGAAAAATATTTGGACTTTGCAAGTATGACTGTACTAGTTTTTGCTGATTTTTTAGTTGTTTCCTAAAACATCATTTGTTGGTGTTTTAGGTTAATATATTGTAAAGGTACAGCTTTTAGATATATCCCAATGTGTTCTAACTCACAACCTAACCAGAAAGCCCTTTTAAGCCCATGATTCCATCCCATTCAAGTTGTTGCCGACTGCATCGAGCTGACGTGCAGTAACATTTCTTGGAATATGCACATCAGGTTATGTGGAAGGTGACGGCACAGGGTTAAAGGGCCATTCTGGTAACATCGCTAGTTACAATGTAAATTTCCTGCAGAAGTCTAGATCATACATAAGTTAGCATGGTAGTATAAGGTCTAGATGTTGTTCTGCTTTTCCACGAGTTTTTGGTTTTGATCACTTTGGTTTCTCCCTCTAAATAATGTGTTTATTCAATGATGAAAAAAAGTAAAAGAAAAGCGTATATGACTATGATCAAAGATTTATTTAATGAGCACAATTTTGTTTAATTCAGTTTTAGGTTTCTTCATCTGGAAAATATTTGGACTTTGTAAGTATGACTGTATTTTTTTTTTATCTTATTTTCATTTTTAGCATATTTCATACTAAAACATTAAAAATATAAATAAGTAATTTTATGTTCTAATATACAGTGTTAAGAGCAAATATCTCTTGTTATGTTCTATAAGATTGTAATATAGATAATGCTCAATATTTCTGTTGCATCCACTGGGTTGAAATAAAATAAAAACAAAACAAATGAGCAAAAAGAAAAAAAAACCCAAAAATGACAATGGTATAATTATCTTACAAGATGTGTTTCAGTAGCAAAATATACCAGACAACTTATTGCTCTGTTTTTATTTGTTTATGTAGCCCTGCCTGAAACATATTTGAACTTTGTAAGTATTAACTGTGTTAGCATTACCTTAACATCATTTTATTGTGTTTTAGGTTGCTCCAGTATCTGGAATATATTCGTGTGTAAGTATAATTATTGATAATTTTATCCTTATTCATGTCTTCATCTTTTATCTCCATAAAGGTACAGTTTTTAGAACAAATATCCCAATGTGTCCTAAGTCACAGCATAACCGGAAAGCCTGTATGCTGCAACTTTCCACACCATTTAAGTCACTGCCAACTGCATCAACCTGAAGTGTAGTAACATTTTTGCGGATGTGCACATCAGGTTGTGTGGAAGGTGACGGCACTGAATTAAAATGACTTTCCAGTTGCAATGTAAATTCCTGTACAAGTCTAATTCACACATAAGCTAGCATGGTAGAATAGAATTTCTTGATGTATGCTCAACCATCCTGGTAAGTAAATCCCAAAAGGTTGATTCCCCAACCTTATAAACAGCACATTTGCAGTCATTGTTTGAATGTACTGTTTATAAAGTTGGGGAAACCAGCAGTGAGCTGAGACTGAAGAAGTCCCTTGGATGGGTGATGAAATGTTTCTCCCACTGAAAATGATATGTCCAGATGAACAGAATCAACCTTCTGGGGTAGAATAACATCTAGATCTTGGTATTTCACCAAAATAAAAATAATATTTTTTTTGATCACTTTGGTTTCTCCCTCTAAATAATGAGGTTATTTAACATTGTACTAGTGCTTATATCTATTTTGTTCATGAATAAAAAAGAGATAAAGGAAAGCATACATGACTATCCCTAAAGCTTTATTTACCTCCTACATTCTGTCACTTGTGTGTGAGTGGTAAAAATAACAGACGAGTTACTCTTCTGTTTTCATTTTACTTTTAGGTTTAGGTAGCCCCATCTGGAAAAAAATCAGACCTTGTAAGTATCACTGTATAAGTTTTAGCTTTGTTGGTGGTGTATCCTAAAACATATAATAACATGTTCTGCAGAAATCACTCAGCCTGTTTACAATGTAATCAGAATGTAGTGATGAGCAAGCACAAATGTCACTCTACTCAGAACTAGTCTTACAGGTCACTTGAGTCAGTTACACACTTGTAAAAGTACTTAGTACTTTCAGTTTTTGGAAACCAGCTACTGCAGACATATGGCTGATTTATGTGTCTCAGAAACTTTCTCTACCATAAGTATGGTCCGCTGTGGCTTATTGCTCTTTTTGTCTTTATTTTTCTTAATTTTAGGCTTGAATCCTCTGGTACAGATTGCTGGATTGATTGTTCCTTTGCTGATGGCAGTTGTGACATCATTCAGCTCCAAAATATGGAAGAGAAATAAAAGTGGGAAATGAGGACTGCAAAACAAAATCCAAAAGCAATAATTTAACAATATCACAGTATGTTTTCTTGATACTGTATATAAAACAAAATATATGTAATATATCATGCCTTTGTAGTCATTAAAGATGTGTTAGTTATGTATTATAGTTATGAAAGCTGGTATTGATGTTTTAGGGATGAATCTTTTGATCATTGGTACTGTAGCATGCTAAAGATGAAATGTTGCTTTACTCACATGTCCAGATGTCAAGTCAAGACTGAAAAGTGAGCTTTAAGAAAACAAAACCATTTCTTTCCCAGTTATTGCAGACATGCTTATGTATTTTAAAATAACGAATTTATTGAGTGGATATCTTGGTGTCATTTGTGGCTTTTGTTCATACTGAATTAAAAGACATTCTTTATTAAGTGACATTAAAAACTGTTTCTGATTTAACAAATTTCAACAAGTAGATATAGTTCACGTTTACAGGTTTTTGTGCTTCTTTTCAGTTCATTAATTCTTTCTCTAGAATTCTATTTTTGCTTAAACTCTCGAATTAATATTTACACACTCATTGTGTGGAACACAATAAAACCAGAGACTGTCATTTAAGGAGTTGCCCCGCCCCCGACCATTCTTTTTTAATAAATACTGAGACGTGAACTTGTGGTTCAACTTTATGCAATTTAACTTTCTGAAAAGAAAGAAAACAAGAGCCATATTAAGAGCTCTTTTGATGTCCACGTCGGTTCTCAGTCATACAGGCCATGGTAATCTAAGGAGCTTGGAAAGAAAAGAGACTTCTTTAAGTTTCTTGATGATGTTTCACCTCTCATTCGAGAAGCTTCTTCAGGTCTAAAACCAAAGACGTTCCTCGAAATCCCTGCTGATAATGACCCACATGACAATTTGGAGTAAAGGTTAACGCCTCATTCTTTATCATTGTTCAGTGACATTGAGGAGTCAAAAGGTAAGAAAAGCAGTTACAATAATAATTTGTAATCACTATTCATACCTGACAGATTCATACAGTAGACAGACAGAGGTAGCAACTAGCATTTGATTAAGTTAATATTTCACAGTTATATGACGAGTCTGTGGAGACTCAGGATAAATCTAAAAGACATGTGAATAATAATGTCAGCTTAAAGTAGACAGGAAAGGTTATAGATAATTCACTAATAGACAGAGAACATAATAACTGCCGACCGTACCTGCTACATTCATTTCAGTGTGATAAATGTTCAAAAATAGCCTCATAGTCATTCATAGCTGCCTTATATAAAAATGGTTTATATAGTTGTTTCACAGGTTAAAGAGTAAATAATTAATCAAAACTAAGGATAACTGGTAATTCTAATGGTTGTAGTTATTTTTATAATAATAATAAATTATACCTATACAGTAAGGCAAAAAGGCACACCTTGATTTAACTCAACAACAAATTTCCAGTCATTGACCAGTGCACAGACTGGTGGGGCCCCTCCAGCTTCCAAATGTTATCTATAGCACAATCACTGGTTCACAGTTTTCACAGGCTGTAGTAAACTTTTAACAAACAATCCAAAAGTCCTCCAACATTTATAGAATAATGTTCATATTCATTTACACAGAGATGATCTTTCAAATACCAGATATTACTCATTACTTTTTTGACAAGATTTTATTTTATTTATTTAATCCATTTATATTAACAATGGCTTGGGAAGAGTTAGGGAAATCGTTTCACACAAGTGGTTCTGAAATGTTTCACAATGAGCACCACCTCAGAAAATATTTGGCCCTTGAAATTCCACCATTGTGACCATTAAACTAATGTAGCATAGGCCTACATAGGAAGGCAAATGAAATAAAGCTTTAACCAGTCTGTTCTCTCTCTAACTTCTTCTGTCAGCTTCTCGTCATCATGTGTAGAAATGACCTGATTAGCTGAGTAGTGTCACATGGGATAAGTTAAACTGAACGTGATTGGTCTGTGAGACTGTTCTACTTCATTTTGGGGTTCATTGTTCAGTTCTTCAATAGCTTAAAGGGATTGGCCACATTGAGGCCGTCTCATCACCACCTGTAGCTGCATATCCTTTTAGTCCATTGAGTCACACTGACGTTAACATTCTTTTACCTGCCTGTCCAGTTTTGTTTTCGACTGGTGAACAAGTTAATTCTCAAAGAACAACCGACAGCACTTCATTGCATGGGGAGACACTAGAGTTCTTTTTTTTTTTCCATTGGGAAGGAATTTCTGTTTCAAAACAAGTCAAGAAATTGTAATCTCTATGTAAGTAACTTTAGTCTGCAAAATGTAAATGTCTTGCATCAGAGTAATACAAGTTACACCCGTAATCTATTTTTAAAGTTTGTCTTCTAAGCCAGTAAAAGCACAGCTTTTAGTAAAGAAAATGTATAATGCATTCAGTTAATGGATCTGCACCTCCTGTTATTTGACTATATTTGATTTAGTTAATTTCAACTAAAGTTTGCTTTCTAATTCTTTATCCTTCCTCAGAGACATGGACCAGGGAAATGGTGAGAGAATAATTTTGCTTTATTTTTTAATATTTCCATTAAATATGTCATTAAGGTGAATAAGCTGCATTTATTTATTGAATGAGTAATAATTTCAAGTCACCCATATCAGTCATCCTAAAATATATCTTGTCAGATAAGTATCACTGACTTATTTCTTACTTGTTAAAGCAAGACTAGTATAAGAGCAATACAAAATTTGCCTGGGATAGCTGGTTTACAATCAGCTTATAGAGTAAAAGACTAATTATAATCAAATAAAACTTCCATTAGTGATGAAGAAAATGTTGCAATAGGTCAGATATTTATTTAATACATAGGGTGAGACAAGAAAGAAAACCCAGACTTTTAAACTTTGTTTTGCTTTCTGTTGTAATGCTAACTTTCCTATTGATAGTTCAGATTCTTGTGCACTTACCCAACAGGTTAGAAATGAAACATCTAGGTCAAATGTTCAGTCTTTTCTCTTCAGAGATAGTAAGTTGTGATTATTTCCTTGGCTTCCATTAGGTGTAGTCATTTCTACACAGAAAGCTACTTGATAATTTTGAATGGCTCACAAGGCGTCCGTAATTTATATCTATTAGTTTAGCCTCAAATGAAAATAACACTGATTCACTCAGTGTCATGATCAAGCTGCATTTGCTGTATATATGAAATCAGTTGCATATTAATTAAGTATGGTGACAAAAAAGAAAAGCTTTGGTGTTTTGTCTTCAGTTTCAGAAAACTGTTATATATTGTTAAATCTATCTTTAGGGTCGTGGAAAGTTTTCCGTGTCATTTTGGCCGGAAGAACAAATGGCGCTCATCGTTCAATTGTTCAGAAGCTTAAAGACATTGGCCAAACTGAGGAAACATCTACACAAGAAAGTGACTACTGTGTGATTTTCTGTCCTGTGGTTTCACGAGTTGGGACAGACATTGCTGAGGCCCTCAACAAAATACCATGTAAGGAAAAATAAAAGTGACTTTTTATAAATAATTTAAGTGATTTATATACAGGGACACATGTAGGATACAGGCCAAGAACCACATGTGGTGTTTATGTCCTACAGCATGAATTCAAGATCTAGTAACCCAGCCCATTTATTTAATCTCTTTTCTGAATCATCTGATCATGTTGTGTCTTTGTTTATAGTGGGTAAACGTGCAATTCTGGTGGTGATGCATCACACCTACAATCCACAACATGTTGTAGCTAAAAGCCGGAGTCAGGTGAACAACTCAAATGTGCATTTGACTGTGGATTGTCTGTTTTATGAGGACCAACTGCTTGACTGTGACCTCAATAATACCATGTGGAATGACATCCGGAGAACTCTTAGATCTCCAAATCACCAGGTAAGGATTTCACTTACTGATTTATTAATGGGCATACATGCAATAACTGATGTATGTGGTTTGGTATTTTCAATAAAGGTATTGCTCCTTATTTGTTTTTTTTCTTTCTTTCTTCCAGACCTCATCATTGCAAGGCTTCCAAAATTGTACGTGAGACTCTTACATTCATTCAGCTTCCCTAATAAGTCCGTATTTTCAAAAGAAAAGTTTGATTAGTTTGTTTTAGAGCTAAAGTGCATCTTTTTGCTATCTGAAAACAAAAATCACATAATTTTTCATGTAATTTAGCACAGTGGAACCCCGACTTATGAAATTAATTCGTTCCCGAGGGTCTTTCGTAAGTCGAAAATTTTCGTAAGTCGAAGCACCCTTTTTGAGTGAGGCGATGCTGAACAATAGGCCATAGGCTAAATGCTAACTAGAACAACAATACGTTGTTCAAGTGGAACAGCGAAGCGCAAGTACGGAAGCCAAGGGGTTGCCACATGATTCGGAAGGCATTGTGGACATTGTAGGCTCAGCCAATCAGAGCAAGCAGATTTCGTTACTCAGGCATTTTGCCGTAACACGGGCAAAAATATTGCCGTTCAGTGCCTTCGTAACTTGAATTTTTCGTGAAATGTGGTATTCGTAAGTCGGGGTTCCACTGTATTGTGAAAATTATTTATTCCTGTGAAAAAAAAATTACTTTGATGCCACTTTACTAAACGGCAACACAGTGGCCCAGTGGTTAGCATTGTTGCCTCACAGCAACAGGCTCCTGGATTTGAATCCACTGGTCACTGGGGCATTTCTGTGTGGCGTTTGATGCTCTCCCCATGTGTGCATTCATAGCCTCCAGCCCCCCAGCTGGAAACATATGCACTAACATGTGACAACACGCTTTGAATTGCAAATGATCAAAGATAACTTCTTACCCTCGTTTTTCTTTTTTGTTTTGTAGATTGGAGGAAACCTACCATAATATGGCTCATTATTGGTTTTTCTATAGCAGTGGTGATCATTGTGGTTATCGTGGCAGTCAGTGTGGAAATGCAAAAGAAGAAAGGACCTTGAGGTGTGCCATTAATGTGCCCCAACAAAACCAAAAAACCCCAACAAAAAAAATCTAATATCAGTATCAATTTACCAATATATTTTTTTTCTTGGAAGGATAAGAGATATGAGCTATGTAATCAGCAAAGGGTGTTGTTTTTTAAAGAATTGTTTGGAAAGACCAACTGTCTTTGATATTTTCCAATTGTAAATAACTTTCTTACCATAGGAACGATTTGTTTCTGTTTTGAATTTTGGCTTACTTTGTTAAATAAATAATGACACTATGTAATATATTGTATAGTGTAATCTAAGGTTGGATTTATCTTATTTTAAAATCTTCTAATAGCCAGATTACCTTTTAAAATGATGTCCATGTATGTATTGCATATTGTGTCTAGGTTTTAAGAAGATGTCTTTGTGGAAAATATTGAAAGAAAATAATTTTCACATTTTTCTGTAGTCTCAAGAGCAGATTCACATTATTTGGAACAAGGTAAACCAAAGTTCACAACAAAAGTTCTAACTATTAACTTACTATTACCATGTGTATTTTAACATGCATTTTCATTGTTTTTTTTAGTAAGTACTAATAAACTTTCTTCTCATTACTATTAATTTTATTTAATTCTAGCTTTTAAAAGCTTCTGAGTAGCTATACAATCCAACAATAAAAACCACCGAGGTTTTTCAAAGGTAGCACAATTATTCATGTAGACACAAGGAAAAGGCATAAAATTCTTGGAGAGAGTGAGTAGTGTGACTTTGATCACCAATTTCTACTACTTTATTGAGGAATCTTAAGCTGACTTGTACTCGAGTCCTCTGACAATTGGCAACTTGCATGTAACCTGGTGTAAAATATTGCCAGCAATTCAGCTCTTCTGATCTTTGTTTTCTTTCTTTCCACTTCATGACAGCTCTGCTCTGAGCAGTGGAGGTCTGAATGAGCAGGATTTGGTATCATGAGGGCGGGGGCTGGAAGGAAGGAAAGGGGATGGGGTGTTAAGGTCACGCCTCTGGCCTAAAAAGGCAAAGCAGAATACCAGTTGACGTGAGCCGATCTAAGAATAACTCAGGGCCTTGGGCTTAGAAATTGAAAACACACTATGAACGTAATAGGAAAAATTTGAATTCAGACTTTGAAAGTTTGCAACTGAATACTTTGAAAATACAAATACGCAGATTTGAGAGTTTATGATACAATTACATATTGTTTTAACACATGTGAAAGCACTATCCATACTGTGACCATGTGACTCCAACGGCAACATAGGCTGGTGGGATAAAGTTACATTGAAGCTCTCGCTCCTAGTCTCTTTCCTCTCTTTCCCTTCCATCATCCGTCAGTCCCTGTGCTCGGTCTAATTCTGTCTGAGCCAGTGGAGGTGTGGGTGGGGGGACAAGCTGCTCTATCTACAATCCCAGCCCTAAGCAGGCAAAGGGCAAAGACACGGGCCACGTTAACTTGGTCTCTGTCTGTCTCCCCAGCCTGATCCACTGGGACAGAAGTCAGCTTTCAAGACTTTCTAAACCAAGACTCATTAAAACTTTCTGATGCCTGGAAATATAGTGCAGGATTAAATCCTGAGAATGGACAAAGGGGTGTAGGGTTTCTGGTGGTGGCCTCTGGTTTAATTTTTTCATATTCCCATATATCACAAACCTTTTGGATGACGTTGCTGGATTGGAATTAAACACTGGGATTAAATTGTGCAGATGATCCAAGGATTTACCACAAGTATTTGTTTTCATGGCAACAAAATCTTCATAAAGGATTTAAGTTTTGTAACAGAATATTTATTTTGAAACCATGACCGAAGCAGCTGAAGGTAAAGTATCACCTTGGTTACTCTTTGAATTTCATTTCAACAACTTCTTGCCTAAAATATGCCTCTTATCATTTTATATGAAATTCTGCACTGTACGTCTGTTTTGCACACAGACCTTCTGATGTTGTGCTGAGTGGTGTGTAAGAGAATTTCATGATTAGAAGTATCTAAAAATATTCTGCTATCATGTATCTGCTATTTGTAATGCAGCTTCAGATCCCCATGACACCGACTGTGCAACACTGTTCCTGCTGTTGCATATCAGCTGATGTTGTGACACCATTTTACATGTTTTTGCCTGGCATAAAGAAAATGAGACAAGAGGATCTTTGAACAGACATTTGGCATTTGTGCACCGTCAAGTTCATAAGATGCCCACTAGTTTTAATTACTTCAAAACCATTCCTTGTCACTGTAGTATGACAGCTGGGTCTAAATACTACAGTACCAATGAGCCTCAGCAACACTGTGATAGAAAAGAAGACAGTCATGGGCTCTAATCTGGTGCAGTTTGTTTGGGCAATTTAAAATGCTTCATTGTTTTAGTTGACAAAAGATGGTACCACAGCTACTCAATTCAACACAGACACAGAATTGAAAATGAAGTAAAAACCATATTATTTAGCTCTAGTCCATCATTAGCAGCTAAATAGCAGCTATTAGCAGCAGTTCATTTCCCCACTGAAGATTTTAAGTAAATAAAGTCATTTGAGTCATCAAAGATAAATTGATGTTAAATGTTTCAACTTAATAGTAAATCAGGACAACAGTAATACTTTATGCTTATGAAATGACTATCCAAATCCATACTTTGAAGTCTATTCAGTATTCTATGTTGACTGAACTCACATTGTGAAATTCTTGGGAAAAAAATAACGCACTGTCCCAGTGAAAACTGTGGGCACAGTAAGCCAATCACTGCTACAGACATTTGTCTGTATGCAAGAAAGTGATTTGTACGAGTAAGTGGACTCCCAGTCTTGATAGGATGTTATCTTTGAGTTGACATGTGGATGTGTAAAAATAAAAAAAATATGGTTTTCTGACATATCCTATGTAAGGAAGCACATTTACAAATATAGCATCCGATGTTGCTGAGTGCTCTGGGATCGTGATGTTGTGGGAAAAAAACAAAAACAAAAAAAATGTCATTGTATGGTAGATGATTCCCCTGATTGTTCAGCAATTACAAAAGACCAGATAGCAAGACAAAAAACGTCAAATGTTAGACAAATATATGTAATTTTTTGGCAGGGCTAACCTTTGCAGCTCTATGAAAGGCCTTTTTCAAAGAGGAGATTTTGACAGACTACAGTAGGACAAACATACATATGTATGTTTGCTCTCAGCCTTTTTTTTTTTTTTTGCTCTCAGCCTTAAACCACAAAGAAAAGCAGCTAATCAGCTAAAAGCTGCTGTGTGGGTGTACACACACATACTTATGCTAATGAGATGATTATTGTTATTGAAATGACAGCTGAAATGACAGTATAAAGAGCTGATTATCTTCACGTTAAGAATTATGTTGGAAAAAACAAAACTATAATTTTATGGTCCACTTATGCTTTTCTCAAATAGTCAGTCACATTTTATGATGTTAATTAGTGGATGTAGATGAACATGACAAGTGCCAATGAAAGCCTTTTACATATGCTAAAAGCTTCAGGAAACTTTAGTATTTATTTGTCAAACTAATACTTCCAATAATCATGAACGAACATTCATGCTTTAAAATTCAGTTTCTTAGTGTCCACACTTTTTTTTAATGTTCTCATTCCTAATTATAGGAATTTACATGTTGCCCCTGCGGGTTCCCTCTGTGTACTCTGGCTTTCTCTCACCGTCCAAAGACAGAGTACACAGAGGGAACCCACTTTAAGTTAATAGGTGATTCTTAACTGGCCATGTGAGCATGAATGGGTCTGTGTCGATGTGTTATCCAAGTGAAAGAGTGTCACGCTGTCAAGGGTGTACCTTGCCTCTTTAATGCCTAGATTATTCCTAATATCTAAGCCATTAGGGTGTAATTATTACCAATGATATTAGGAATAATAAGATTATTTCCTAATTTAAATGCTTCTGTCAAGACAGCCAGTTATCTTATAATTATTTTTCTTTTTCAGAAGAAAATAAATTATGGAAAAAGGCTTAGTTACATTCCCCTTTGGAATCCTTTGGAATGGTGCTTCTTACAAGACTAAGAAGACCTGTATGTGTGAAAGACTGGAACAGCTAAGCATTTAGAAATGAAAAAAGAAAAGATTTGTATTGAAATATAACATACTCAGGTGCAACAATGCTTCTTTCAATTTCAGTCAGAAGAGTTTACAAAGAACTTGCTGTGGAGATGCTTCATAGTTGGGGAATTAATGTGATGGCTGTGAGGCAAAGCGGAGAAGTAGTCTCTCTGTCACTTTCAGTAAAATTAGACACCACTGGGTGGAAAGAATTCCAGTTGTTTAGTATACTTGTATACTAGTATACTGTTATTTTCCACATAAAGATTACAAATAATAGAGTCTGTAAACCAAGCAAACAACCTGTTTGCTTTCTCTGTTGTAATATTGAGAATTTGACACCTGAATGTTGTTGTAGGTTATGTTGGAATCAAATTTCTAACCTGATTTATAACACTTATCAGGCTCAACCATCCGGATGTTAAAAGGTCTCTGCTGTGTTTAGTTCAGTTCTGTGCACTCATTACTGAAATGTTATGACAACACTTCCCTGCATTCTGGCTCCACTAGCTTCTACTGACTGCTCTGAGCTCAGCTGTCATGGATACCCTGTGAGAGCAATGGCAGAAATGTCATCCACAGCATGGAGGCAGGTCAGCCATAAAAGGAGGAATCATACATGGATGGATGGTCACACCATTTAGAGTTGAGTTTTGAAAACAGTGGTCAAGGAAAATATCAAGTCCAAAGGGGAAGGACATATTCACATGCTATTAATGTTTTTATTTCCAGTACTAAATTCCAAAAATGGTCTTTATTGTCTTGCACGTGTTACAATGTCTGCATTGAGGGTTTTGTTAAAATAGGAGCTCACAGACTGGTAAAATGAATACATGAAACTGTTTAAAAAGATAGATAGAAAATAAAAGATAGACAAAATAGAAGTACAAGTACACAGGGATCTCTTGTCAAATTCATGATTAATTGTTTATAAGTTGGATTTGGCCACAGTGCTGAACTACACATCATCGGTGAACTGCAGTGCATGGTCAAATCTATCCATAAAAGCCTGGAAAAAAGAAGGAAGGCTCTCAAAGAATTACTATTGTCAATACACCTACAGTATAGCCAGTCAGAAGCCTGTGTGTCAGTTGAAGACTTTGGGCAGCTACAACTGCAGATTTACACCAAAAATTCTAACTTTGTAAAGATTTCTGAAATTATCAAGGCCTAATGTAGGCCATATTCAGTTAGTTGTTTCCATTGCTACAGAGAAAAGTATAAAGCAGGTTAAAGTTCTGTAACAGAGTAATTTGTATTATTAGTCTGTGAACTTTGGAATATTGCTACAAGACACTACATCAACCTCTAAACTACATAATTTGTGATCAAATATATCTAGCACTATTAAGATATCTATCCCATTTCTGAGTGCCCAGTTTGATTGTAGTGTGGTCACTAATTGTCCATATACTTTCAACTAGGCGTGTGGATAGACTGACAAACGCAGGACAAATATTATTTGAAAACAAAGATGTAGACATTCATAGCACAGGCAGTATTGCTGAAGGTTCTGTATCAGTGGTTATTAATATTACAGGTGGCAGGGGTTTTCCTGGCTTTGAACAGGCACTTGTGTGTGTGTGTGTTCCTGTCTAGCTATTTTTGTGAGGACCGAAATCTGCATTCTACTATACTTGTGAGAACCAACAGTCACTTGTGAGGACACACAACCTGGTCCTCACAAATTTGAAGGCATTTAAAGGCATTTTTAGGCTCAAAATGTGATTTTAGTGTCAGGGTTAAAATTAGGTTATGGTTAGGTATAGGGTAAGGGTTAGGGTTAGGCATTCATTTTTAATGGTTAGGGTTAGGGTAAGGGGCTAGGGAAAGCATTATGTCAATGAAGGTCCTCACTAAGATAGCTGAACGGGGTTGTGTGAGTGTGTGTGTGCGTGCGTGCGTGTAAGCTATTTTGCGATTTCTTGATAAAGAAAAATGTTGGTTAAACCATATAAATGGCCAATTATGGAATAGGTTAAAAATAGAACTCTATTATAATGTTGATGGCTGCTCTTTAGTGCTGACTGAAAACTTTGTGAGCAGAGAGAGAGTTGAAAAATCCTGGGTAGAGAAATGACTGCTATAAAATACGTCCATTGACATTTTAGAGAACATTTACTCGCAGTTTAAACTACAACTCAATGGTGTCATTACAGTCATCTCACAACAGGCTCCACAACTTGTTATTCATGTTTTGAAAAGACCAGTAAAAATCAAACACACACACACACCTCCCTCTAACCTAATTGCTCTATGTGTGTTTAGAGTCCTGCTAAGCTGTTTGAGTCAGCAGTAAGAGAGTATCCCACAGTAGCTGCCAACACTGAGCTGAAGAGAGTCAACAGGTGGTCTAAGCTTAATACACCCGCAGACATATGAACAACTGGATGGTGACTGGTGTTATGAGACAAAGCAAACTCTTTATGCTGCACTGTTGTATGAAGCAGAGCCCAAGCAAAACAATACATTAGAAAAAACATAAATGAAAACACACAAAAATCCAGATTAAGAAATCTACACTAACAACACTTGGTTAGTGAGTCTAAATAAACCATATGGGCATGGATGGTAACTGCTCACTTACAGGATAAACTAAAAGTATCCATCAATCATTCATCCACTTTCTTTCCACTTTCCACTTGAGGATGACATGGGAGCTGGAGCCTATCTCAACTGTCATAGGATGAAAGACCAATCTGAATTTAAACATTAACACTAACTGTGGCTGAATAATGAAAAACTAAGGCTAGTTAGTTTATTTTATACAGTGCTCAAGACATTTAAATGAACACTCTCAGAGTATAGAACCAAGTCAGTCCAATTTCTTGGCATATTGAGGTGGTCAGTTGGTCAGTTTAAGCTGATTAGGTGTCAATAAAAATGCCTACAGGTGTGCACAAGCGGCAACAATGACACAACCCCAAAACAGGAATAATTTTTTACTAGTTTTGCTAAGGTCAGTGTCACCACTGGTCACATGAGCTGATACCTAGACCCTACAGAGGTTGCATAGCTCCTCCAGGATGACATGTCAATACATGCCATTGCCAGAAAGTTTGGTTTGTCTTCCAGCTCTGTCTCAAGTACATGGAGGAGATTCCAAGAGACAGACAGTTACTCTAGGAGAGCTAAACAGGGTCGTAGAAGGTCCTTAACCCAGCAGCAGGACTGGTATCTGCTCTTTTGTACGAAGAGAAATAGGATGAGCACTGCCAGAGCTACAAAATGACACCCAGCAGATCACTGGTGTGAAACAGACTTTATGAGGGTGGCCTGAAGGCCCAATGTCCTCTAGTGAGTTATCGTCGGGATATCAAGGGACAAACAGACCTTCACAGGCAACAGCACCCTGATTGCCATTAGGTATCACCAATGTTAGATTCAATGCTCATGCAATGGGTTCTCCTGATGCACAGTAACGCCCGGCCTAATGTGGCAAGACTGCAGAAAGTGCCTAGCATAGGCACTGGCCCCCATGCTTGCCTGACCTAAATCCAAGAGAACACCTGTGGGACATTATGTTTTAGTCCATCTGATGCCACCATGTTGCACTTCAGCCTGTCTAGGAGCTCAGTAATACCCTGGTTCAGATCTGAGAGATCCCCCAGGACACCATACATCATCTCATTAGGTGCATGCTCTGACATTGTCAGAAACATATAGAAGCATGTGTTAGGCATAAGTCTACTCAGTACTGATTTGTGTTGCTTCACCGAAATTTCGTCAAAATGGACTAGCCTGCCATATCACTAGCAGCTAGGGCAACCGTGGCTCAAGAGTTGGGAGTTCGCCTTGTAATCGGAAGGTTGCCGGGTTCGAGCCCTGGCTCGGACAGTCTCGGTCCTTGTGTCCTTAGGCAAGACACTTCACCTACTGGTGTTGGGCCGATGGCGCGATATGGCAGCCTCGCTTCTGTCAGTCTACCCCAGGGCAGCTGTGGCTACGACTGTAGCTTGCCTCCACCAGTGTGTGAATGGGTGGATTACTGGGTGTGTAAAGCGCTTTGGGGTCCCTAGGCGGGACTAGTAAAAGCGCTATACAAATACAGGCCATTTATATCATTTTTTTAAATTTTGGTTTTTCAGGATGTTTTTTAAAGTCAGCATTCTGTAGTTTGACAATTTAGATCAAACAAGATGGCATTCTTTTATTTCTAACACATTACCCACTCCACATCAGTATCAACATCCAGGATGACTTTTGTCCCACTCATATCTGAATCGTACAGGACCGGAGCAAATCCAAACCTTCCTAGGGGACAGCCAAGGTAAACCATGAACACTTTGCTCTATGCTGGCCAACACACAGAGGCAACCATTCAATCTCACATTCAGACCTTTGGCCAAATTAGAATTGCTTGTTATACTTGCAAACAAAAAGCTTGGGACTGTGGGAGGAAGCTGGAGAAACCAGGCTCCCAGCCATTACTCTCTTTGTGCTGAAGTTTCACGACCAAAACTTTAAGACATCTGCACCAAAAATGCCATTTCAGCCAGTCAGACTGTTTTGTGCATCATTGTTTCCTTTATATAGGCTTACATTGCTTTGATCTTTGAAGATGTACATGCTAAGAAAAATAAATTTCCCTCAAATAGTTTAAACCTGAAGTACAGTAACAAAGTATTTGTACTTTTTTACTTCTCACCTCTGCTATAAGTGGCAAACCAGGCTGTAACTGCACCAACAGTAGCTCCTAGTGAAGAGTTTTTGTAATGTGTATTTAAATAAAGCAGTGGGTTTTGTTTTTATAGCTTCTGATTTTACTAATTTTCTTAGAATATTAGGGATAAAAAAAATTAAAAAGGTGCTGTGCATATTTTACTAACCAAAGTTTCTGATATTTTGTTCATTAGCACGAACATCGACCACTACAACCATGGTCCTCGATCACAAGAACGGAGACGCTGGGGCACCACCTCTGCGGGTGTTGAAGAAATCTTTTACAGATGACTTTTACTCTACTTTCAGCTCCCCGCTGGCCTGGATCTTGGTTCTGGCTCTTATCATTACTTGGTCTTGTGTGTTCGTCATTATGTTTGATCTAATGGACTACAAGACCATTTCAGGTACAGTATCAGCAGCCTTTCAGTTTCCTGTGGAGTTGAAAATGATATTTTGAGGGTACACTTGCTAATGCAGGAAGTCAATCAATGAACAACCAAATGGGACTGGTTTGACCAAAGCAGCTGCAATAACTGTATTCACTTTGGAGTGATAAAGAGGGAAATTTCTAAGCAGTATATGAGCAAATTAGAGAAATTATGTCTCATTACATAGGTTCACCTATAGTATGCTGTGCCAAATAACTAATCAGAATCAGAATCAGAATCAGAATCAGAATGGGGTTTATTGCCAAATGTTGAGCAGGTTTACAACATTAGGAAATTGCTGCGGTGCTTCAGTAATAACAAATAATTAAGCATGACCCTGAGAACCAGTATACTGTGAAGAATTTACTTTTTAACTTTAATGCAAATATACCTCATTATTTTTTATTCCACAATTAACTCATTTTTTTTCATACATTTATGTTTCATCTGTTATTATACATTATGTTTTGCTGCCAATATAGAGTTGAGTGTTGAAAGATGATGGCACACCCACACAACACAAGCTTGGTCTAGAAAAGTACTGGAGGTCATAAATTCTGGTGTCTGTTTGTGCAGGTAGGGCAGCGTTGTAGTTCTTCTCATTACAGGGAGCTCTCCAATCCAGGAGATGTAAGATGAGCCAAGAGCCAGACCAAGTCCCAAATAAGGGAAAAGCCAAGTCTAAACTACAGCTACTCCCTAACTTTTTAACCAATCGTGTTAATGTTCTGTTCATGTGTCTCATAATAAAAGTGTTTACTGTTTTGGTGTGATGCCCTTTGTCTGGTTGGCACGTGGTTTTAACCTCAACCTTCAACTGCTCTGTAAATTTTGAAAACTTATACTTTGAGTTTATTCGTCTTGTCTCATTAAAAAAAAAAAAAGGGAACCCAACAGTACCTGGGTGCCTTATCTGCACTAGGTCAAAGTTTTTATTGCAATCTATATTTGCATTTATTGTTTATTATTCAACTTTTTTCTTCAACAGGTCATAAGGTTTATCGTGAGATGAAGCTCATTTCATATTTACACAAACGATCTTTGGCATCTTAAACCAAAGATAAGGCTAGTTTAATAATAGCAACAACATGTACCTCAAGGTGTGTGAATATGTTGTTAATCTGGTTGGACGTGCCTTCAGTATTTATCATTTGTAAAATCTCATGAACCTTCATACCGCTATGAGTGAATGAGCTTCCATGGGAAGGACAAAAGATTATGCTGGTAAAGTCGTTTCACAGTTTTCCGATACTTCTGTTGTTTGAAGCATTTTTTTTAAACTCTGATTTTATTTGAATGCATTTACTTACCACACACTGTTAGATGTCTGCAATTATGAACAACTGGTATAAAGCTTGCTAGTTTAATTTCTTCATATGTTCATATGTAACAGTAACACCACCAAATAACAAGCATTGGGTCATTTTGTCATCACTATATTAAAAAGCAATGCTTGGAAATCTATTAATTTAAGCTGTGTTCTAACCCAACGCTCATACGCAAAAGAATCTGGGATAGTAGCAGCAGTAGTACCCAACCAATTTCCCCACTTCACAGTATTGTTAATCAATTATGTTTTTAACCCTCAATTCAACTTAAAATTGTGGCACTGACAATTTTACAGTGAAAAAAAAAATTCTGTCTAGTTTTTTAAAATTTATTTTTATTTCTACTCCAATGCCTTTACTTTAATTTTAGTTAATTTGTTCCGTTTTCAGTTTTTTGTTTTAGTTTAGTTTAAAATAACCTTAATGTCAACACAAATACTTCACCTTACACGACCCTTCCTTTCACTTTCACTTTCTTTGTTTTCCTTTGCTTCATCACTATACTTAAATTCTTTACTTATTGCCAATGTGTTTTTCATCCAACCAGGTCACCCACCCAGGAGGGTTTTTAAGGATTCAGGGCGTAGAGGCAAGGCACCATATCTGCTACCAAATCATCAGAACAGACACTTCTTCTAAGGGCACTAATAAAAACAGCTACTAACTCCCTAACATTGACTGGTAATGTTGGCTGTCAATGTTAGAAAGTCCTTTACAGCCTTGTTGGACCTGTAGAGGGATGATAAATTAGGCTAAAGGCTGCTTTTTGTCTATTACTGCATTCATGCTTGATTCTGTCTGTTTTCTAGGTGTTCAGTCATGTTAAGAGTAGTTTATAGTCAGAAGAGGTTCTATAAATGAAGTGGACTAATTCCTGCTCGGTTTCTTAGGTGGTATTTGTTGTGTTATTATTCAAAAAAATTAGAATATTTGTAAAAGTAACACATTTTCTGTTTCCAAAAATTATTTTGAATATTTGAAATTCAGGTATGCTTGATTTATTTACTGCAAGTATCAGTGTTCTCTGTCTACAGAGTAAGAAACTCAAGCTCTCCTGAAATCTTCGGATTTTAAACCAAACTGTGTTCCACTGCATTTCTGTTTTTCCTTTTTCCCAGTGCGTATTTTAGCTTTACTTGGTATAAATTCTGTTTGATTTCAAGTTAAACAAAATCTGATAAGGCTCATCTAGGTAATTCCAAAATGAACAATGTTTTGGTGGTATTTCCACTTGGAATGCAGGTCCCTCTTTCATCAAATTGGCTTGCAAACAAGTCAGAAAATTCAAGTCTTTTGAGTTTAATTGAATTTAGTTTGAAGGAATTTATTGTCAGATTCAAATACAGATGTTCAAACAAAGATAAACAAAAATATTTAAATATGAACAAAAGAAAAATAACCTATTAGCCTGACTTTTAAAACTATGAACACCAACTTGATGAAAGACAGTCAATACGATTTTTAAATGCTCTTTGCACAGCAATATGCTCTATATTTGCAGCCCTTTGTGATGGTTCAACTGGAATGTCGGTTACTGTTCTTTGTAATTGAAGATTGAAAAACTCCTGAAATGCAGATTTCTGCCTTTCAAGTTAAGCTCCTGTTGCCCCATCCCAGTTTGAACATCATGCTTTCTCATTTCCTCACTCTAGAGGAATGATAGCTTTGTCTGTATTGAGGAAATGTGACAATAAGAGTTGAGGAACTCTTAATTGTTGGGCTTGGTACAAAAACAAGCAGGTGAACAACTCCAGTCAAACTTCACGAGTAACTAAAACATCTTTTTGTTTGTGTGCCTGTATTCATGTTCATGCTCCATCAGGAGGCCTCAGCAAGATCAGCTCAGATCCCATGAAGGCGGTAAACGATGCCGTGGATGAATCATCAAACATAATCACAGGAATAGTGAAATTTGCTGCCAACTTAATTGCTCCAGACGACGATGAAGGTTCATGACTTTATGAACGTATTCAAATTCTGTGACTGCAATTTATCTGATGATATGCTAGTTTTCACTTTTCTCTCTTCTTCTCCAGGAACTCTCTATGCAGTCAGAAAAAAAGGTTTGTACTAATTCTGCTTTTGAGTGCATATCCCATTTAAATCATCCAGCTGTAAAATTTGAACTGAAAAGCCTTGCTTGCTGCTTTTTGGACTTCTTTTTCACTGTGCTGCTTTACATGTGTTGTTCTCTGCATTATATATTCTCTGGGGGGTTTAAGTGGACTTCTACCAACATAAACCCCCTCCAGGATAAGTAATTTCAACTGTCATTACGCATGAAAAATCAAAACTCTGAAATGGCAGTTTCTGGGGGCATGCTTCTGCTTTGACTAATGTGTTTCTTTACAATGAACAACACATGTACTGCAAGTTTTTTTTAATGTGTCTCTGAAAAAAAATAGATTTTTTTTTTCTAGAAGTTTTGATTTGTTGTATTAATAGAAGATACAACAGACGTCATTGCATAAGCTTCATATTTTACAGACATAGTTTACTGAATTATTTAAGTTTAAAGAAAGTTTGTTGGAAGGTATTCGTAGACATGCCTGAATAAAGATGCCAGCAGGGACAGAATCTTGTTTGCTGAAATGGTGTTATATCCAAGTTGACTATATCTATGAACCATCTCAAAGATTCAAGTTGGTTGGATGATGTGGATGATGAAGTGGAGGTGAAAAGTAAGAAAACAGAAGGTATTCAAAATTGATACATTTCTGAGAATGTTCTTATGAAACTTAATGAAATAATGATAAGTTCAGTTCTCACACCTAATAACAGACTAATGATGGAAACAAAAGAAAATCATAATAGTCAACTAAAAGCAGAATCTTACTTCTCTCCTTTTTTTAGTTGCACTGATTCAAGCAGCTCTTCTGATTGTAGGATTGTTTGCATCTAACTTGCAACCAACTGATGCTAATTGCCACAACTGAGCTTCTTAATTTCTACTAAATGTGTCTGTGAATTGGTATACTAATTGTACTAAGAGTGAAACATTTGGTTTTTAAATTCTTTAATTACATATATCATTTTTTTTCTGTGCTGCAGGAGAATTTCTACCATCACGAACTAAAGGTCTGTAACTCTCATTTTTACTTTGTTGCCAATTTTACTGCTAAATACTTCACTTAGATTAATGGAATACTTATCACGCCCATCACCGATATTAGGTTCTCCTTAATCCCCGTTTTCAGTGTAATTTTACTCCATGCCTTTACCTTTTTTTAAAAAAAAAAAGAACTGTGCCAAACCATGCATATGAGGCAGTGAACCATCTATCTGCACTACATTTACGGTTACGGACTTTTTCTTACAGACTTATTCTTCTCTTTCAGCAACAACTGCAGCCTTAGCTTACTTAAACTCTATGACTGAGTAAGGTCACTGCCTGTTAGGAATTCACTTTTCTGTTGCTGAAATAAATTCTCTCACACGTGGATTAAGTTACTAACCACAACAAACTGGCTAAATTAGTCTGATTCATTCATGTAGCAGCAGTTTGGCCGGTGTTACCTTGTTAAGTGAGGCAGTGGAGACGGGTACACAGCTGAGGGCTTACTGATTTGTAGCCTGCCTTTAGTGCTGCTCTTCCAGCTTTTTTTGGCCTTTGAGCATTTGAGCTAACACAATGTAGCCACTTCGTTGAGGTGCGCTCATGGGTGCACTAATTTACCCTACCCTGTGCCTTGACTTACAGGCTGGCCTGATTGAGTCACTGATGTTTATGCTTAACTAAATCCAGACTGAAAACTAAAACTAAGTGTGAAAATATATTTAAATATACTGAATTTTTTAAAATGCCTTCGAAAAAACCCCACAAGTCAAATGTACTGTGAAAGAAAGAGAGAGAAAGTGTTGTAATAGCTATTCTGAATTTCAATTTTGCACCTGACCAAGAACTACCATTTTGTAATGATCATAAACAAGCAGATTGTAAATAAACGAATAAAAACTCAGCTAAACCTAAACAATTTCAAATAATAACACTGAAACAAGCAAACTCTAACAAAAAGAAATGAAAAAATAAAAACTAATGAAAATATACAAAAAAATAACAATAGTTGCTTAAGCTTTAAGATAGTTTGTGTACAAAATTAATATATCACTGACTTTTACAAAGTTATTATTATTATTATTGACTCATTTTAATTATTTCTATTTTTATTATTGATATTTTAATAGACTAATTTTAACCATCATCACTTTTTGTCAGTATAGCAACGTCATAGTTATCATGAATCCATAGTAATGTGTAGTGAAAATCTAGCATCCCAATGGGTCACACTGATAAGTGTGACACTTGAATTTTACCATTTTTGTGTTAATACAATATTATTCAAAGAGAAATTGCGGGATTTTTACTTTTTACTGCTCTCTTAATTTGAATAACCCATTTAATTTTTTATAGTCATAGGAATGCAAGCACAAAAGCAACCACCAATGACTGAAGTTCTGGAGGATGAAGCGGGGGAGGGAGAGGCAGAGGGAGAAGAAGGAGATGAAGGAGAGGAGGCTGGGGAGGACGAAGAGGAGGAGGAAGAAGGGGAATATGAGGAAGAGGAGGAGGAGTATGGAGATGAATATGAGGAAGAGGAGGAGTATGATGAGGAGTATGGAGATGAATATGATGAAGAGGAGGAATATGAGGAGGAAGAAGAAGTAGATGAGGAGGATGAGGAATTGGAGGAGGAGGAGGAGGGGGAGGAGGAAGAGGCCAAAGGAGATGAAGAGCAGGAAGTCGAAGAACTGGAGGATGAGGAGAGGAGGAAGGAAGAACTGGAGGATGAGGAAGAGGAGGGGGAGGAGGAAGAGGCCAAAGGAGATGAAGAGCAGGAAGGCGAAGAACTGGAGGATGAGGAAGAGGAGGAAGGCAAAGAACTGGAGGATGAGGAAGAGGAGGAGGATGATGAAGTTTCTCCTGAACCCATTTCCACTTCTGAGGATGAAGAGTCGGCTGTATCTCCTGATTCTGAGTCCGATGTTCCTGTTGGGGTGACAGACAGTGACGAAGAGGTAACTTTACCCGATGAAGATGATGAAAAAGACAAAGAAGAACAGGATGAATATGAAACCAGTGATGATCAACTTCTTTCCAGTGAAGAGGAAGAGGGAGAGGACGAGCTGGAGGATGATGAAGAAGATGATGAAGACGATAGACTAGCTGAGGGTGTTACTGATAGTGATGATGTCATTGCAGAAGACACTAGCGATGACCTGGATCTTCCTCCTATTGTAGCTGGTAGTGAGGATGAGGAAGATATTGATCACAAACTGGCAGAGGAAGAAGATGAAGATGAAGAAGATCTTTCTCCACTTCCTGCTGAAGATGAAGACTTGGAAGAAGACATAAAAACTGTAGAAGACACAGACGAGGAGGAAGATGATGAGGAGCTGGACCAATCAGACGAGGACATCTCTGTTGCATCCTCCGAACACTTTGCAGATGATGAAGATGATGAAGATGATGAAGAAGACCTTAAAGATGATGACCTTGACCTGGACTTTGACAAAGATATCCTTGAAGACCTTAAACACAAAGATGCTCAAGACAAACCTGATGTCACTGAAGAGGGCATCCCTGATGATGACAAAGAGGAAGAGGAGGAGGAAGCTGGCATTCCTCCCTTTACGAGCACAGACAGCGGTGTCTTAGGTGATGAAGATGATGAGGATGACATTTCCTTTGAAACGGATGAGGACTCCACTGGAGAAACAATTCTGAGTGACTCTTATGACACAACTGATGATAAGGATGTTGATACAAGCTCTTTAGATGAGGAGGATAAAGAAGATGAGGATGAAGATGAAGAAGATGATGGTGTTAGTGAAATCTTGATGGCAGGTATTGTACAACTTTATTTTTTACATTTAGTTCTTATAAACACAAGAAGGATGGACAAAAATGAGCTAGAAGCAGCACAGGAAAGGTGATTCTTCATATTTCATGCTTTAAATACACAGTTGTCATAGTATATTGTGTTCTGTGTTTTTACAGCTGCTGCTGCAGGAACATTAACTGTCCAGGAGGAGGCAGCAAAGACTGATGAAGACCATGAAGAAGGGGATGAGCTCGAAGAGGCTGAAGATGAAGGGAAGACTGAAGACGCAGAAACAAAAGAAACAGGTTTGTATCAAACAGCTGTTGTGGTGCAAAGGATTCATAAATGTGTTCAATATTGTTTCTAAAACCTGTTAATGTGCAATGAAATCGAAATATATGTATTCCTGATAGTAGGAATAGAAGGCAACACTAATAATAATAATTTAAAAAGGTAGCATCTTATTAAAGGAGATGCAAATAAGACAAATAATAAGCAACAACAACATATTTATTAAAGAGTGGGCAGTATGTCAGGTGTGACTGTGAAATCTGTGACTTCGCACTGCCACCTACAGGTCAGTCAAACTTAGAGAAACAGATAAACTGGATTCAAAAGCATCAAAGCTATGTGTGTCATATTGGTTATATGGCCAGTAAATTTATAAGAAGTTTTGTTCATTAATTTTTCAAATTCTTTTGCAATTACCTCTACAAATATTGTTAATAGTATACCTTTTGTAGGCAGTAAAAAGCATCTATTTTATTTAAATGTTTTACCATTATACATTTATTTCTGCCCTAAGCAGGCAACACTATCAGTGCTTGTCCACCTTAAAAAATATGCAAGAGTGGAAAGATTGAGAGGCCAATTTACAGCTTATAAAAACACTGAAATGTCATTGGAATCTCTGTAGAAGGTGGTAAGTTTAAATTGACTGTAGCTTATTTTATTTCATCATACATATTGTTCCTGAAAGTCAAGAGTTTATCCTGCTCAAATTTCTTTAATTGCTTTGTTGCCCTTAACAGAGTAGAAAACCTCAAATCCTTTCGTTTTTTTCCTTGTTGTGTGACATGATTCTATGATAGAGCCACTTTCTGCTTTTACAGGCACCACCCGGCCTGCAGCTCCGGAGGAGAAGGATGAGGGCAAAGATGAAGAGCCAATTTCTAAACCTGAGAAATCTGTAGATGAACAAGAAGACAAGAAAGAGGAGTATGATGAAGACGAAGATGAGGATGAGAAGGCATCGGTGGATGTGATCAAACCTGTTCCTGGACCAGAGGAGGCAGCGCCAAAGACAGAGCCCACAGGTCAGAACCTGAGGAGAATTATAAATGCTTTGTCATATTTGTTTGTCAGGGTAACATTAATTTTATGCTTTGTGATTCCAGTGTGTCCCTGTATGCACTCTGCAAAGACCAAAGAGTCTCCAACTAAGACTGCTAAGGCAAAAGGTCTGTGATGGTTTCATAATGTCTGCTGTACATTTTTCTTATAACACAGTGTCAGTGAAAGACTGTGTGGTTGAATTTAAAGTACTGTTTTTTTAAAGTACCTAAGGTTTTTAAGTGAAATAAATGACATATAAAATAAGTTATTTTAATGAGGTGGAAACTGTATTATCTAATAACAGCATATGGCAATATATTAAAAAAAACCCTTGTGAGAAAACATTTAGCACATGTTTTATCTTATGCGATTACATTGTATCTAGACTTCTTTTATTTTCCTACAGCAGCAATTGTATTGATCATTTGTGCAAGTTTTAATTCATTCAGTAATTTGACAAAAAAACCAAATTGAGTTTTCTAACTTTCTAACTGTTTCAGATGCATACAGAATCATTTTTTAGTATTTTTTAGTCTTAAAAGCAGAAAAAATCCCATATATCATTTCAGTGTTCATATTCAACACACGTGAAACGCTTGTTTTTTTTCTGTTGAGGATTTATAGATCATATTGCATCATAATGCACCATCACTGTTCTCCACAAGATAAAAACTAAATATGTTCTTTGTGCAAGCTGTAGTTAAATTTTAATGTAAAGATGGTGCAACAGAGAGAATGTAGAATATGTGATGGTGCTCATAAGAAACTGGGTGTAACTTGGAACCCAAACATGTTTAACATTTAGATCATGTCTTTAAGTCTCTGTGTATCAACCAAGTGGATTGTTGTTGTTCTTTTTAAAGCCTTGTGTGACACAGAAAATAAAAATGCAACTCAATGTAAAACTTAAAAGTGATCCCATATGAGATTTGAGCTGGAGTCTCTTTGCTTTTCTTACCTCACAGTCAGGTGCATAAAAACAACTCTACTGTATAAATAATACATTATTTAGATGGAGGGTGTGATGATAATATCACATCTTATTGCATTGTGTCATATAAACAATACAAAAAAAGCATTTTAATAAAGGGTAGACATTATACTCATTTTTGTTTGATTCTTCCACTTTAATCAACATTTTTAAACTGTAGTTTATAAACGTTGATTATGCTGGAACATAAACCTGTATTCTGCAGATATGCATCATGTTGTGTGCTGCATGCAGTGTCATAAGTACGTAACTCTTCACAAGCCTCTGTGTTCCTCCTCCAGTTTGTAGCTTTAGCTTTGTTTATATTTTCAGATGCTCCCAAGAGAGTTTCTGCTGTGAGAAGGAGAAAAGGTAATGGTAAAAAAAACAAATAAAAAGTTCCTATTTATGATATACTCACTGACGTTACCTGCAAAACTCCCAAGAGACAAAGTTTAAGTCATTATTATGTTTTACAGTAACCTCCCATAAGCTCTACAGGGGAATAATTCAGGGAACAATATTATCTCACCCTGTAAAATTAGAATAATTTGCATCACTTGGATATGAAGTTGCAACTTTAATTAAGCTTTTTGATTCAGAGATAATTTATCAATTTTCTTTTTTTTATCCCTTATGTTCATTTTAAGATCGGGAAACTGTGAGGACTGTAAAGACTCTAAAGACAGCTGAAAAGCCCAAAAAGACAGGTAGCACTGATTCTTATGTTTATATGAATTTAATCTTTAAAATGATGCGCTTATTATTGTTTGCCTTTATTGTGATATTGTAATAAACACAGTCATGTCTTAATCAGCTCTTCCTAGAATCAGCCTGCCTCCGAAAATCACAAAGATCCGAAGATTTCCTCCTTTTCTGAAAGGTACTAAGATTTAATACACACATAAACTGGTCTCAATGTTAATCAGGAGAGAATTACTTTTTCACATATACGTTATGAATTTAAATATTTGTACCTTTTTCAATTCTAAAAAGCCAAGAAAGTAGATAAACCCAAGGCTTCCAAAACAAGTAAGCAATTACTTCCCCACTAATATGTCACATTCATGATCACTGTATTACAAAAGCAGAGCAAATTATGTTAGTCTATTTATAAAACTTCTTTTTTTTTTAATGTGACCTTGTTTATTCACAGAGACAAAGACCAAAAAGCAAGAACAGGTCACAGACTCTGGACAAGAAGGTATAAAACATTCATATTTTTCTCCTGATTTAAAAGAACATTTATACCAAAATATAAAAATAAGAATATGACTTTGTTTGTGTATTATTCCAGTAAACTGTTGCTTTGGATTATATGAATAATGCAAATGTGCACTGATGTTTTGCAGTTGGGCCTTGTAGACCTGCACCAGTTTATTGCCCGTCCCCACCTGGATGGTATGGTAAGCACAAGGATCTCCACAGTGCACTGAAATGTTGTCATATAGGCTGAATTAAAGACTTTACTGTGCACCAGCTTAAAGTTGGCTTTTTATCTTGCAGTTCATCACATAGTCACAGACAATCCTTACCCTCCTCCTACCATGTCAGGTATTCACTTTTTGGTACTGTTTGCAGTCACAGTTAAATCTCCGTTGCTCAATGACTTCTGCTGTAAGGTTAAAGGCGTATTTGTTTTTGTTTTCAGCTCCCTCTGCTCCTGTACTGACCGCCCACCCTGTCCATCCCGGAGCCCCACAGGGCATTTATCAGCAACAGCCTCCGCCAGCACCAATGCATCCACTGTACGCACAGTATCAACCATATCAGCCACCACTTCAGCCTGTGATGCCGCCTCCACCAGATCCAGTTCAGCCACTCCAGCCTGTACAGCCAGAAGCTGCAGAAGAAGAAGAAAAAGCTCCTGCCCAACCTGAGGTCCCGTCTCCAGCTGTTGAAGCTGAGCCTGCTGATGCTCCGGTTCAAGGTGAGAAGGATATGTCTATTTATTTTCTTTCTTCTTTTGAAATGGTTGTTTCTTGTTCTTGTTTTCTTGTTCTTTCTTGTTTTCAAGGTATTCATTTAAAAATATTTAAATGTACAGATTTTTTTTCTGCTCACCTTCCACAGGTTTTGGGAGGAAAATCACAAAAATCTGATCAAATAAATCAATGAGGCTTAAAAATATAGTGCAACTAATTAAACAGAGTTGTTGATAAGTAAATATTTGAATAAGGTGTGATAAATAAATGAATACATAAAAGCATAAATACATTTCACTTGAAAAAAACCCCACACTATCCTGAAAATCTTAAATTTTTCTGTGAAACTTTAATATAATTCAAATTATGCTACAAAGTAAATAAACCTACAACTGTTTCCCCTGAACCAGAGGCTGCTGAGGAGGACGTGATTGCTGTCTCCACAAAGAAAGGTACAAACTAAGAAGTTAAACTCTTGTGGAAAGTTGTGTTTATCACAATTACATCAGTGATAGTAATTAATGTCTTGTCATTTTCAGCAAAAAAATCAACAACAAAGGCTGCTGATTCAGACAAAGGTACTGTAGCGCTCTCCACATCCACTAAATACTTAATTTGCCAGCTAACTAGAATATCCACTGTAACAAACGACAGCTGCAGCACATAACAGTGATGTACAATAGCACTGTGTGCTATATGAATGCATTAATTAAAGAAAATTAACTTGGCATGGGCATTTCACTGCAATTATCCCCTCAGAGCCAGGAGCAGCCAAAGGGAAAACAAAGAAAGGTAATTCATGTATACAGCTGGATAATTTGGTGTTTCCACTGGTACACACTTCACATTGTTAGAAGTGATACACACAGTAATTATAGCTGTGCTTTGTTATAAATATTCATATATATTTAAACCTTTTTCCAAGATACAGATACCATAAATTCATGTATTTTTTCAGTGCTAGATGCTGCCGTTTTGAAAGACAAAACCAAAGCAGACACTGCAAAGAAAGGTGATCTGGTATCTATGGATCTATACTTTCTAATGCATTTTGATTGCCTTTAAAAGTGTAATGTTCTTCTTATGTGTTTGTTACTTCAGTGGCAGCTGCTAAAAAAGAGAAAATCAGAATTCATGCAGGGGCAAAAACAGGTAAAATATCCTTTATTGTTGTTATTGAGACATATAAATGATGAAAATTAAACATTATATATTTAATTCTGTTGTATTTTGTTCCAATTTGTTTGCATAGATCCATCTGCAAAACATAAAACTAAAAGTGCTGCAGCTCCTAAGAAAGGTAAACATGATTAGACGTTAGGATCTCATCAAATTTGTAATATTTAAAAAAAATCAAATGCCGTCCAACACATTTCTCTTTCATGTGAAGTAGAAGTTAATAGTTGACTGAGAAAACAAATTATTCAGGCTGCTAATCACGAGTTTTTCCTCATTACGTTAGAGCCTGCGGCTGAAAGACAGAAGAGGAAATCAGCCTCTGAAAAGACAGGTGACGGCACTCACTGACATTCATTAATTTGCATAAAGCCAATCATAATTCATGAAAGATGATTGGGAACTAATTGTTTCTGTTCCCTTCAAAAGCGGCACCTATCAGGAGCAAAGTGAAGGCATCGACAGCAAAGACAGGTAAAACTCAGACCGTGCATGAGTTCACGAAAATTTGATTTTCTTCTCGGTTGAAGATCTTTTTTTTAATCATCAACTTTAGCCCAGTTACCCCTGCATTATAATTTCTGTTTATTAAGATGATTTGGTTCGGTTCAAATTCATATCAAACAGATCCAGAACCACGTCCACAGCCACTCAGACTGAGACCGAGACTTGACATTGGCAGGAGGGCAAATGTAACCTCTGAAGCCCACGAGGAGAAACCTGCCAGATCTGAACCAGGTCTGTGTTTCTTTCATGAGGGCCCTAAAAATATCTAGCTTTCCTAAAACTTGTAGTTCTTTACTATTTTTTTGTTTTTGTAGCCAAGACAAGATCAAAATTATTGGCAGCAAAGAAAAGTAAGTTTATATTTTAATGTGGCAATAATTTTCCCTAAAGCTTAGCTTATTTACAGCATGCTAGCAGCACTTTGAGACTGCACAATAGTCCTTTTAACCCATTAGTATGCTAACATGCCAGTAGTGACCAGGTGTCCCACTTGTGGGACCGCGCAACATTTCTATCCCTTCTCCCTCTCTCCCAAATTTAAATTAATTTTCAATACTCAACATTACAGGTCAGATTTACTACACCGCCAACTCTGATCTCCAGATGTAAACTTCACAACTGTCTAAAATATGATTGTTATTTCTTGGAGTACGATATTAGCACTGCACTGTGCCAGTGTCCTAATGCTAGTGCATAATCTGCCAGAATGACAGAACACATTGTGTATATTCAGCTAAGACTAGATTATTTATCATTATTAGAGTTACAGTCATTAAGCCACAGAATAAAGAACTGGGCAAACTTGTTTTTCTGATAAAAAAAACCCCAAACAAAACAAAACATTTTTTAGTTTATGTTTATGAATAAATAAATACTGTAATTGTCTTGAGATGATTGTTGCTTGTATTTGGACAACTCTCAGAAACAAATATGTCTACCTTATGCTTTTCCTGAAGGATTTCCAAAATTAGTGGGAAAGTTAGGGCTTTGACCTTTTGGTTTCACAAAACTGTTGGTTTCACAAAAACAGGGGATTTGAAAAGCCAGCAGCATTCATCTTTTAGTCTCTGGAGACCACTGAGATACATACAAATATCCTTGAAGTAGCCCTCAGCTGTTTCAAGCCATCTTTGTTACCTTGTTAAAAACAGGAAAATCTAACAAGCTGTCTTTCTTGCCTTTACTTTCAGCTCTGTAAAAGTTGTATTCTTTAAATTTGAACCACAAAGTCTTATAACCAGTCTGAATGTACACCCTTTTGATAAATTGGAAGGCAAATTAACTATGGTGGAATTCATGCCGAGAGTAAAACACCTCTGAAAAATGGCTTTTAATTAGGGGATGGAAATGAAGAATTTCTAAACTGCAGTCATGCCTCATTCTGAAAGAGTCTAATGTTCACATTCACTATTAGTATTCATGTCCATCCATGTTTCTCAGAAGCTAAACTGATCAAGTGAAACACAGGAAGAGAAGGTGCAAGCGTATATGTTTGTACCCTTGTAAAACCATCTACAGCAAATTAGATGTGTTTGAAACATACTCATGTTCTCTGCTGGCATTTTTCAGGGAAAATCGCCCCTTTCTGAGATGCAGATTATGTGAATAAAATGGGCTGTTTTATGCATGATAAAGTTCTAATTAGAGACATGTCAAGCTGTATTACTCCGAGAAGGGAATAATATTGCAAGAATATTGAATTTACACCACAATTACAGAGAGTTATTTGGCAGGCTGTAATAGGGCTGTCTCTCCTCTCACAGGCCAAGCAGAGAAGGCTGAAAAGAAATCTGTCAAAGAGACTCAAGGTATGGCTTTAGAGTAGAATTAGAAGTGAATCTAATGAGTGCTATGTATATTTCAGAAGGCTCAGCTGCTCCTTTCTCCCCTTGCAAATTTTAGAAAAAGAGAAACAAGCATCAAAAACTGGTAAGTACTCGAGCATGAAAGTTTTCTATATGCACAGTAAATAATCTCCAGTCACCATAGAGAGTATTGACACTTATTAGAATTATTTGTGTTTCCAGAAGTTTAATTTCAATGGAGTGTGCTTCATTCAAGAGGCTTTATCAGTGCTGCTGATTAGAGACTTAAACATTCCTGGTTCTCTTTTGGTTACTGATATGACCTCTGAGCTAGTAAGGCATCTGTCATCAGTAACAGTTCTTGGTAGTCAGGATTGGGATACATTTAAAGTTAACTTGTTAGAATCCAGTTTTATTTCAAGTAAAAAAAGTCATCTGTTATGTTACAGCATTAGTGGGAATTAAGACTTTTGAGTTCTTTAGAATTCGTTTTTGGTTTTAGTTTATCATATTGTTCCGAGGGGCCGAGCCTACCTACTGAGTTGATATGGACAACTCAATAGTCCATATCAACAATGTATTAAGCAACACGCTTGTTAATTTCCCTCACACTGACAGTTTTTGGTAAAATCTAGACATTGTGGTTTTGGAGCTGTAGCATCGACACCATTGTCCTCCTCATCAGCCGTACTTACCTTGCTGTGCTTGTTCTGAATGTGAAGCTGCGCTCTTTCAAAGCTGGCAGATAGTTATCATCATCTAGGCACAAAATAATATGAATACTTCTGCAATGTAAACACCCTCCTCTCTGTCATCTTGCTTGTCAATCTGACTGAATGCATCAGAGATTTTGCTTTGTCTCTTCTCGCAAGGAAGAGGCAGACATGGCTACATGTCAGGGGTTGGTGACAATAAAATAATGCAGACAAACATAAAAGACTAGAAAAATGCTTTCTACTATCAAAGCATTTTGTTCTTCAGTATACTTTTGAAATTCTGGGTAAAAGGAGCAGGAGTGTATTTCAATCTCAATTCCTTTTTTTTACTATATGCATATTTTTTCCCTCATAAAAAGATACCTAAAACATGTTGCCATATCTGGCAGAATGAGTTTAGATTGCCAATTTTATTGTTGGCAGCAAAGATTGTTGGGAGCTATTTTGCATCATGCAGCCATGATAATGTTCAGGAGGGTAATAGAAATTAGAATAAGCTGTCCCTTCACAAAAAGAGTCTGTACATCAGCACATGCACTCACACAATCCTGATCAACAGCTAAATCGACAAATGTATAAATTAACTCTCAGAATTGTTTTCCTCATAATGCCTTTAAATGTAAGTTCCCAGCATCAGTGTAAGCTACAGTATACAAGTTAGCTGAACTGATAAAGCTTCTTGAATTACTGGATAAACATTTTGAAGTATTACAAAGAAACACAGTGGTGCTATGAATCGTTTTGTTTTCTGTCATTCATGTTGTGTATCATATGCTTGTTGTCAATAGAAAATGAGAAAACAGCTTCCTGTAAGGCCTGAGGTATTCTGTAAATTTTCACCATCTTTCCAATGGATGATTCAGTATGAAAGGACGATGGCTTTAATGACATTAGGATCACAAGTGATTAGAATTTAATGAGATGAGCTGATTGGTACAAGATTACAAGCCTTTTGAGCCGCCTTGAATTATTGAAAGAGATTATGGCCTTTGATGAATATGGCAACAATTTTATACTTAGCTGGATTGATTAAATCCATGAACCAAAACCCATTAAATTGGGTTATTAGTGTTCTGTTCCTATTGAATCATCCAGTGGATTACAAACACTCCCCCACTGCCCTGTTTAACTTCGCACTTTGCTACCATCTGACACAGCAGTGCCTGTTTCTTCAGGTGTGATGAAAAGTAGTTTGGTTTCTTTGGTTCAGACTGAAGTTCAGAGGTTTACTTTGATTTTGGTTTCTTTACTTCACTTAAAAGAAGCAAACCAGAATCGTTTTATACAGACAATACTAGCCAGTATTTGTGTTGTATGGTTTGTTTTATGCATGACTGAATTCCAAAAGAAATCAACCTCTTTTGGAGGATTTCATTTCATTTGATTTAAGTTACTTCTATTTTATTTAGCAGGGAAATGCACGCACACATTGTTACGTTTAAGTTAAATATAACTATACAACTTAACAAAGTCATGATACTCTAATGCAAACATCAACTAACAGTGAAGCAAGGAGAAAAACAACCTTATAAATAGCAATTAAAGCAACAACATGAGTAAACAAATTAATGTGAGTTAAATATCCTTCCTGGTGTTCATAGACTTGCCTTTGCCAAATGTTTTTATTTCTGTGCAATGTGTCTCTGAGTGGTGATTTTCACGTCACATTTCACCAACAAGGATTTCTAAGAGATTTCAGTCTGCAAGTTCTGTGGTTCACTATGAACTAGATACAATGTTGATAGACGTGTGTACTGTGTAGCTTGCTGCAATTCATTCTTATTATAGGGTGTTAAATACTGTTAATGGTCCCCTTTTAGAGAGCTACAACTCTGACGTGCGTCAGCCAATAAACTTTGGTTTCCATCACATTTGTTTTTTAGTTGATGATTGACTTACTCTTCAGTCACTTTTTTATTTTGCTTTGTTTGAGTCACTAAACTCCTATTGGTTAGGTTTATGAAAAGCCTCATCACAAAATTAAACCTGCACATGCTGCATATCTAGTTACATGTAACATCAAAGGGTGCTTTACAATTGCCCATTGATGGCTATTCAGGTGGTAGATTATGGAGAGGTCAGTGGTTTGTTGTGGACAGCAGTGTTTGGTATCCTGGGAATGAGAAGGTGCTTTCCCTTTACAACACTCAGCAGCAACAAGGCTACTCTTTGTTGAGCACCACTCTTGAGGCGTGTCATTTCAACACTTGCTGAGTGGCTTTTATTAGGTTTAAATAATTATGCAGGGTGATGTGGTTGTTGCAGAAAAATTACATTTAAATGTATTTTTATTTGCAAATGACAAGTGGTGATAAGTGGTCACTTTTCCAAATAAAGTTTAATTTTAGTTTGACTTTAACAAGAGACTGAAGCAGCAGAAACAAGCAAAAGAACATCACTGTGTTTAAAGAGTGAAACCCAGCCTGTCTTTTATCCTTTCTCTTTTTTCATGCATGTAGAAACTTATCCTCTGTTTTCTTTCTCTCTCAGTGTGAAGCACAATCTCATATTCTCATTAAGTTTTATTTTTATTGCATGCAGAAGATCCCAAGAAAGAAGAAAATATTACAGACAAGAAGAAACCTGGTAAGACTTGGTGAAATTTATTCAGGTTCTTATTTCATTGACTGTGGCCAATATTAATATTTGTATATGGAGAAGGATATAGGTGGGTGTGGGTGTTTCTAATCAAGGCGGCTAAGGCTGTGTTCAAACCCATTGTGAAGTGAACTTGTGCATCACATCAGTGGGTTTTTTGGACCATTTTGTAACCCAGAAATGTTAACGCCTTAGCGCTAACGCCAAAACTGCTTCCTCTTAAACAAAAACAGATTTTGGGAGTTTACCAGTTAGTCTTTTTTTGGTTCTGTCCCTATATAAGAGTGAACTTAAATCATATAGTGCCCACGAACAGTGATGCCAGCTTGGCCTCTATTTCTGGTCTGGAAACTTTGCTTTATGTGTGGTTTGAACACACCATGTAATCGTATAATTGCACAGTACAAATCTATCCACAGATCTTATTGTAAGCAACCTCTTTCCATCTCATCTTGTCTTCACAGGGCAGAGATTCTTTCAGTGCGTTTATGTCCCTGGCAAAAATGCCCAGTACCCTTTACGACCTTTCACTCCAGCCATGTCCCCCACCATGATGTCTCCTGCACTCAGAGCCATGTTGGAGCAGCAGAGAGCAGCCAGGGCGTCTGGGCAGTAGGACCACCTGAAGCCTTTCTTTATATCTGACAGCACTGCATCTTTCCATCCAGCAGGGGGAGGTGTTTGAATCTGTGCTAGCTTTACATTAAGAGGATGATCACAGAGAGAGAAAAAAGTGGACAGACTTACTTTGTCTTTAATTTATTGAAATATTCTTTTAGTGGTTGAGCTCCTGGGGTTGCTGTTAATATTGTCCATTTTACCCTCTGCTTATGCTGCTCTACTATGTCTATGTTCAGTAAGAAAAATGCCATCTTGTGAATATTTTATTTATAAATAGTATTTATAATGTACATAATGCATGTTTTTAATTAGAATGGGATAAATGGGTCACAACTTAGGATGTAATATAAAAAGCTGACTTTTGTGCTTTCTCTATGATGCCCGTTATCAGATTTAACAGTAATTTATTTAATTTAAGGCAGTTTAGTTTATATCCAAGCAAACACTTATATACTCTATTAAGACAAGCTTTTATTGTCTTAAACAGCTTTGAATGGTTTATTTTCAAAGTCTAAGATTATTTGCAACAGGAAAATATATTACATTGAATTATATACATAATATATGTTAATGGTATCAAACCCATGCAAATACATTTCACAAAATACGATTTATTTGAACAGTATTTTTTTTCCAGTTTTCTATATAAATAACTGCATTTTCAGTTCCTGTAAACATGCCCCGTGTTTGTTTCTGCTGCTTTGCTGCATCTGCAATAGAACAGAATCCAAATGTTGGAGGGTCAAATCCCAGGAGCTCCCACACTGATCTGAGCAGCATCCCTGTCACTGAACATCCATCAGCCTCATCAATCGTAGGCGCATGCTGTGATTGATGCACACATATTTCTTGACATATTAAGAACACATCTAGCATGAAACTGTTGGCCATTTACTTTTCACTGCTAATGTTTTTTTTGTTTGTTTATTTGTTTTTGTAGAGGTTCATTTCAATATGTTACATGCCACATTTTAATTTTAACTGACTCCAATCAAAGTGGTGTATTGGAGATACTAGGGTAACCAGAAATGGCATAGTAGATGAATAAAATATAGAAGAATCTGAAAAAATAAAAATTTTCTAACATTTAAGAGGCACTGAAAAGATTTTTATATCTCTATGAATACAAACTCAATAATGCAATGCAGTCTCATTGCACATATCAAAGCTCTAAAATTAAATTTGGATCCAATTAAGAAACATATTTAAATGAAACATATAGCTAAGTAAGGAAAGGGGGATATAATTTTAAAAAAAAACATTTTCTTGTGTATATACAATAATTATTAAATAGTCTAGGTTCTCTGTGTAACTTGAAGCAGCTTCTATGTGGGACTATGGGCTTCTCGGTGGTGGTTTATTGGCCATAAAGGATATGAGTATGCAGCAAAATGTTTTTGTTGCGCCTCATTAGGTTTAATAAATTCAGAAAACCTCTTTTTGATTTGTTTTTCTTTTAAAGCCAAAGATTGCAATGCTGTGCTTTTATCTTAAAAATGAAGTGCAATTCCTGGATAGTAAATGTCTTGTAATTATGTGTTTTATCACAGATGACCTCTAATTACTTACAAGTATCAACTCCTTTAACTCATCGTGTTCAGAGGCAGGGACAACTTTGATGTGACCAACTCATGAGACACTGTGATGTCTGCTACACTGAATGAATGTCATTTGTGTTAACCATCAGCTTATTTATTAAGTCTGATCTTGTCATATTTCTTTTTACCTCAGTCATTCATAGCTCTGGTTTTGTGCCTTATAGCAACATGGCTGCCTTGTTGACGCTGCCAAACTGTTGCCGAGCATCACCAGTGATTGCTGTTGCCGTCTTACTGAATGAAAACTTGATGCAAAGAACCAAAAAAGGTGTTTTTACGCTGGGCTTAATCCTGGGATATGACCCACCCTTGCCCATATTGTGCTGTCATATTCACCTTTTAACAGAGTGAGTTCCTAAAGATAGACAAATCTACTAGTTTTTAATAGCTAGTCCGTGTTTTAAAAATGCTTTTGACATATTGTTGCATTTTTACCATATTATGACCCTGTGGATTGAGCTACATCAATTATCAAAAAGTTTTTTTTTTTGAGGTATGGCAGTGAAGGGGGGCTCAACCAGAGTTTCTTGAACTTATGAGGGCCAGGGACCTCTTAGAGGGGTGAAAGTTTTCCAACGTTCCCCTCATAATCCACATTTAAAGCAGTTAAGATGCTTTGATCTTCGTGTTACTTGTTGTCGTGGACTGATTCAGATATTTCCCTATGCTAGCTTGCTAGCTAGTCATCTAGCTAATATGCCAAACTATGCAGCAGAACATTTCTGCTGTCCTTGAGTGTAGTTACAGAGTTTCTACCAAAATGACTCAATGCACAATATTGATATCAGACTCTCTATTAACCCAAAGAAAACCTTGGGGATAGAAAAGGACTCAATATATATTCATACTTTTTTAAACTGTAAAATTGTTACCTTTCATTAAAATGCACTTTTAATGATGCAGCCCCTTATACAATTTAATGCAAATTATTTACAGACCTCTTGGCTATGAGATATCAACCGCAGTGCCGACTCACCATTGTACCTACTATTCCCAACTGTATTGTAACTTTTTCTTTTTTTTTAAAGCCTTAAACTGTATTTGGTGACATTGAATTTAGAGGTGAGTTTAGAGAAAGTTACTTGAAAACTTCTGTTTAAATTTTTCAAACTAAAAAGAGCCATACTTCAGTTTTATAACATAATTAGAATATTTTTTGTTACTTTTTAAGAGTTAGTTCTAAATAAAGATGTTTACTGATATGGACTGAAAACTTTCATCACTTGTTTTGCCAATAATTTGTTGCCAAAGATTGCACAGTGGCCATTTTGACTAAAACTAGTGTGTTGCAACATTAAAGAAGGACCTGCCCCTTTTAGGTGAAAGTCCATAATTTTGGTTTCTGGACTTTTTTTTTGTTTTTATTTAGTTTATTTCATTTCATTTTTCTTTATTCCTGAGTTTAATAGAACATTGAATGTAAAGTTTTTTGTAAACTCTAATTTTATAAACAAGTCTGAAGTGAAGTGTATCCCTGAGGTTTCAGTATTACCCTCCAGGGGTGAGGTCAGCAGTCCTGAAGTGGTAAGGAAGCCTAATGAGATCTGACATCATGTACTGCTGCAACTGACTGTAGGTGTTGTAAGTGTTAGTTGGAGTAAGTTATTACCTTAAAATGTGGTTTTTACTGGTGTTTTGATTAATCATATTCCAGAAGGGCATTTCAGCAGTAGTCTGCTTGTGCCTCAGTGTTCTGAAGGTCGTCAAAACATATAAAATGAACAGTAATTACAGCATAAACTGTGGCTATGTGCTGTAATTATGTTTTAAAGTGTTATTAACTGTAATTTAACGTGAGCTAAATCGTGATCTCATGCAAGAAAACAGACCAGAAGGAACACACAAAAACATCAGAGCTCTATCTAATGTAACTGCAGGTTCTTCATACATATTCATGTGAGCCTACAGGTGTAAGGCTGAGTTCAACTTGACTACTCTACATCCCTGATTATGTTTTAAGTACATGCGTTTGGATGGTGTTGTTAAAAGCAAGTGATCTGCTTGATCTTATGCATGTTTTTTTTTCTGAAAAGCTGTAGTGCAACACACTTTTGCTTCACTGTATTTCACTATGATGTGTTGCTGTCATATTTGTCTTTCATTCTTTTATTGGTTTGTAGTTATCTGAAACCACAGACAATCTAATTGATCTGCGATCTCCAAGCAGAGTAAAAAATAGTTGGCTTTCTTGTAGATGCTTCATCTGGGATTGGAGTGCAGTTTAACACTTTAAAAAAGTCTAATTCCACAACATACAGTTTGAGGTTGTTTTGTTTTGGAAGGATATATTTTGTTAACAAATTGTAATATTTTCTGCATGATAATGTCTTTTATTTAAATTCAAGGCTGCTTTTTTGTAACACACAAGTAAGACTGCAGTGTCACAAAAAGCAGTCACTCTGGTGCTGTACAAATACTGTAGATAATAGTTAATTTCTTATCATCATGAGACTTGTCACTCCATTAGTTCTCAAAGATAATAATAAATTAGTTAACATGTTTGGTCAAAAAACAGTTTTAAATGAAAGATGTTTTTTTGTGCTTTATCAAAGATGTATGAAAATGATGTTTAATTCAGAGAAAGTATGAACTACCTGCTGCATGTACTATAAAGCAGATGTGTTTAATTCACTCGGTCACTTTCCAGAAGCCAGTTAAGTGTCATAACTGACATTTCAAGCTATAATATCATTGGAGGGACAACACTGAGTCTGCTGTGCTTATGTAGGAAACTTTTACCACTATGCAGTTTTTGTGTCAAAACGTGAATAAACTTTTGAAGATATCCATGAGGGGGCATTTCTCTCTCTCTCTCTCTCTCTCTCTCTCTCTCTCTCTCTCTCTCTCCCTCTCTCCCCCCCCCCCCCCCCCCCCCCCCCCCCCCCCCCCCCCCCCCGCCCCCCCCCCCCCCCCCCCCCCCCCCCCCCCCCCCCCCCCCCCCCCCCCCCCCCCCCCCCCCCCCCCCCCCCCCCCCCCCCCCCCCCCCCCCCCCCCCCCCCACCCCCCCCCCCCCCCCCCCCCCCCCCCCCCCCCCCCCCCACACCCCCCTCTCTTTCTCACTACTCTCTTTTCTGTCTTTGCTATATATGGAATAATTCGTATAGAAAAAACACTGTTATACTGATGGGCTGTGATGTATTTAGTTATTGTAGGGTGTATCCCACCCTACAAGAACTCATACTCTCCATCCTATCAATAAATAAATAACAAGCACTAAACCACCTCTGCTTACATATTAATTAATCCTGCTAAGAAGCACAGTGTTAATGTGTTCTGTGAGTTCTAAGTACATGATGAATCTTTTTATTTTCTGAGTTTAAAGTTAGTTTAAAGTCTGGAAAAGAAAGGGTTATTTATGCACACTGACTGGGAATTAGAAATGAAAGTGGAACAAGGCTCAGTGAAAAGTGATCTAAAAAATTAGTAGACAGGAAAATCTAAAACAAGACACTACAAAAAAAAAAAGAAAAGAAATCTAACAAAGTAAAATGTGACAAAACTAAAAACAACAACAAAAAAACAAACAACCAAACAACCAAAAAAACTGGACACACAAAAAGGGTCACACCAAATGTGAAGAGAGAGACACACTGGTGGATAAAAGCATACAAGCAGAAATACGAGACTGTAAACGTTAACACTGAGGAGCTGAACACACGAGAAATAAACCGATAAACAGAAGCAGAGGAAAACCCATTTCAAACCCAGGACTGGATGAGTCAAAAACTCCATAATTATTAAACCGTAACCAGAATTAAAATACAAGAAACAATAATTAAAATACTGGAATGATACCAAAATGGCAGCACGGTGGCACGGTGGTTAGCACTGTTGCTGCACAGCAAGAAGGTCCTGAGTTCAATTCCAACATCAGGCCGGGGTCTTTCTGTGTGGAGTTTGCATGTTCTCCCCGTGTTTGCGTGGGTTCCCTCCGGGTACTCCGGCTTCCTCCCACCGTCCAAAGACATGCAGCTTGTGGGGATAGGTTAATTGGATAATCCAAATAGTCACTAGGTGTGAATATGCGAATGAATGTGAGTGCGAATGGTTGTCTGTCCCTGTGTGTTGGCCCTGCGACAGACTGGCGACCTGTCCAGGGTGTACCCCGCCTCTCGCCCTATGACAGCTGGGATAGGCTCCAGCGCCCCCCGCAACCCTGAAAAGGATAAGCGGAAGCGGATGGATGGATGATACCAAAATCAAAACAGGAATAAGAAAAAAATAGAATGTAAGAATTAAAAAAACAACAGTTGAGTCAAACTGTTTGTGTTTCCAACAGTGGAATCAAACTACTAAGTGTCCTATGAACTAAACAGAAAGGCACAAAGTCAAACATGACTTCCAATACCACTAATGGGCCTTTGAGGGGAAAAAACTGCATTTCCCATGAAAAATGACTTCACTCCCTGTTTCTACAGGTAATGGCAGATAGTTCCTGCTGACAGCATGATGAACTTCATTCCAACGTAAGAAGTCCTATGAACAGATCAGATTGGCAAAGTGTATTTCTGGATAATGTTTTTGTTGTTGGATGTGCTTTTTACATCATTTTTGTAAAAGCCATTAGTGGAAGGACACTGCTACCTGAGACAAGTTGAATGCACGATATGCAAGTAATGCAAAAAATGATTGCTCTAGCTTATTCTGTTCTATCAGGATTTAAAGTTACACAAATGGAAACCTGCGGGCTTACAAGAGTTAAATTTAGGCTATATATAAAATAAATGTGACAATCAACATAAGAAAGAACATCTTTTCATTTACAAATAAATTATCTAACACACATTAGTGGGTCACATAATAAACTTAGAGAACAGAAAAAAGTATCCACCCCATCACGCTAGAATTGATCCAATACCAATACCAGGATAGGTATCGATACAATCGATATCTGGATTGATCTACCTACTTCTTATTTTAGGATGTCAGTGTCGTTTGAGCTCTTGGTGGCAGAATTGGGACAACACCTGGGGAGGCAGTTAATTTCAGAGTCTATTAACAGGTAAAATAGTATTATTTCCATATCATTGTATATTCAGTACTGGTGCACATTTTGAGCTAGTCACAATCTGACTGGTCAGATCTGTTTATTCACATGCGAAAAATCAGCTGTCGCAATACATGTCGCAAATTTGTCTTCAAAAACGTATATGGTCGGTGTGAACAGCTGCAATAATAATAGGTTACTTGTCCAGTGTGAAAAGTCCTTTAGCCTTTACATTTGCTACAAAGATCATGAGAACGAATGTTTTGAAAAATACAGCATAAAATTTCATGGGCAAACTGAAATAGATACAGTAAGTCATGACTGTAAATACACGATTTTCCAATTATCACTGCTTTCCTTGGTGTGGATAAACAAACTATTACAACTGGTTTTGGGGCCTTATGGCATTAAAAGGGGATCTCATAACAGCCAAAGAGCGGGCGGGGATGCAGTATGAATCTGCCACGGATATGTTTGAGGCCAGTAACAGACCAGCTGGCAATACATGGTACCAGAGCAGAAGAATGGGTAAGCTGTACTGTACTGTGCTCATATCGACTTAAAGGAGCACAGGAGTCAAACGAAAGTCTTTTGAAGTACTGTTTTACTTTAGTGAGGACACTTCTTTTGAAAGTGTGGCCTCTTTGTCCTCAGACTCACTCAGAGGAAATTGATCTTGATTACTGAATTTCTGTAGCTTCAACAAGCATGGCGACATCTGCTCAAATGCTGTGATATTCTTAGAGGTCAAACTTAAACAGACAGAAACAACAGAAAAGTAACCAGGGAAAAGATCTGCGTGTGTCCATGTTTATTTTGATCATTTTACATTTCAGCAAATTGTCTTTGAGGACATTAATACATTTAACACCTGCTAGCTGAACAGCGTTTTGCTCCTATAATATACTGGCTTTCCATAATAACTTCACAATTCATTTGTAGTTTGGTCTCCCTACAGCTCCTACTGTAACTATACAATCAAATAACATTGGTAGGAAAATCAAATAAATTGAAAGGTATGCATTCATTTTCAATTATCAGTCATTTAAAAAAATGACATTTAATGTTGAATTCTTCAATGCACAAATACTTAAATATAAGAAACAATACATTGGATTTCTAATGGAAGAAGTGGCTTTGGCAGAGAGAACTCAAACATTAGTCAAAGTCAGTGGGGAATAAACATTGCTGGTCCATAAATCATTACGAAGTCCACAGCACACTGACGAAGCTTGTGATGGAGAGTTTCATTTCAAAAGAACAGGAATATCATCTTGAAACTTGATTATTACATCTGTTAAAGATTTGTTTAACTTTTTCCACACTAGACGTTATGATGCTATATGCAGAGATAATGTGATTTTTATCTCTTCACTTTGGAACAAAACTCTTCATGTGGATATTTAATTAACCCAATCTATACAGTACACGTCCTGCGACTTCTCCCAGTTTTACACATCCGTTATCTTGGAAAACAAAGTTATGCTAATCAACGTGGCTTACGATGCCTGTCAAACAGAGAGGCACACAAAGCAGAGAACATTTAATGTACATTACTGAAACTAGACACATTTTTCAAGCCATTTAGACTCAATTGTCTGAACCAAATGAAGGCCAACAGTACACCAAAACCATTTCTATGAGTGATGGCGATATCCTGTCTTCTACTACCTGCCAAACAGGCATGATTTGCATTTTCATTGTTTTACATACTTTGTCCTAAATTTGAAAAATGCCACTCAAACTATGGAAGCTTTGTATTTTCATATCAAATATGCTTCTAATCACACAGGGAGCCATCGTGGAAGTCAACATTGGATGATTACTGTATTCATAGGAAAGTGATAGCTGCATGCAGTACGGTCACAACGTGTGGTCCTGCTTTCAAAAGGAACATTTTCAAATTTGTATTTTCATCTGTTAAAGAATGTTAAAGAACACGCACATCAACATGTGAAATGTTGATCTGTTGGCTTTCTTGCTGCTTTTCCCCAATGCAAATCTGGTTTTTATTTGAGGAAGATCAGAAAGTGCATTTCTATTCTATTGCTTTGTTAAAATAAAATTACACTGCAGTATAAACAAACCTGTTAAATAAATGATAAAGTACATGAAGCAGGTGGAAAATTACCAAAGACAAAAACCTGTCAGATCTGCGTGCAGGGGTAGATAATCACAAATGTCCCATTTCAAGCTTATTGTCCCCTTTTGCTTTTGTTGTTGTGCATGAATGGAGAATTTCTCAACAGCCAACTAAACTAAATCTGCCCCTAATATCCGCATTGTGTCAGAATTATATATGCTAACTGTGGATGAAAACTATAGAAACTAAATCATTTACAGAAGTCAACACTAGTTTTGCAGGTGCCTGTTTTCTGTGTGGCTTTTTGGCTGAAAAAAGCTGTTAACTTTACACCGAGCAAAATCGTATTGCTGGGATTTATCAGCACATTAACCCTTAAGATGCATTTCCCTTTAATGGTCCCTGGATGGTGATTTCAGTCACTCTGACTGAAGTGAAAATTTTATCTTTTTTATTTACTTTGGTGAAAGGACAAATATAAATGTGACACTTTGGAGCTACTATAAACAAAAGCAGCTTTTTGTTTGGTGTGAGTTTTTTTTCAAACTGATGCTGGCTATAGATTATCATTGTGTTTGTTCAGTAAAGAAAGCAATCATTTTTTTTTTTAAAAAAGAAGAAAAGTTCAGGTGTCAAAGAGCTGATAAAGTGCTGCAATCTGAGCTGTGATTCACCCTGCTTCAAACTGCAAAGTCACTTGAAAACTGCAGATACATCTGCAACTCCTGCAGAGCTCGTTCCATGCTCAGTGGTGCGCAAATACGGCATTAATTATGATTAGTTAAGCTACTCAAAATTAAATGAAGAACAAATGAACTCATGTTGCAGATTTGGGCTTCTCTGTAGTTAAAAAAAAGACTGTAAATGAATTCACAGATGTCCCATTCATGTCTCTCTTTTTTGCGTGTCATGAAATGATATGTTGCATGGGAGAAAAGCAGCATTTGGCTCTTGCTTTGTTTTGTTTTTTACGATTGCTGACTTCAGATTTATTAAAATGACAGATAAAATTACAAACATTTGAGGACCTCCATGAATGCTTCCGGGATGATTTTTTTTTAAAAGCCCAAAGCCTGATATACTGTTACATCTCTTATAGCTGGTGTCTGAATGTGCCCAGCAATACTTTGATCCAAGAATCAGAAGGAATGACATAACAATAACACAGAAATAACATTCGAAATGCTGAATTTCTTAAATAAGAACAGATCTTAAACTCATATTTCTGTATACACTTCATACAACAATCTGTGTAATAAACAAGATAGATAGCAATTTTAATAAAATACTGACAAGAGAAAAGAAAAAGTCTTGCATGTGTGGTAAAGCACAAAGCATCACCCGATAAAGTATATCTGTAATAAAACACTGTGTCTCATTTCATTCTATTTAGATTTACAACTGAACAAAACAACCTCTGATACCAACATTAACCTTAAAAATAATCAGTGAACCTGCAGGACGCTCTGAGTGAGATACAGTTTAGCTATATTCAAGCAGTATACAGATGTTTAGTTCTTGTAAACTTTTTATCCTAACAACTGGAAGCATCTACAGTGGCTGTGTGAGTGACCATGTGTGTGTGTGTGTGTGTGTGTGTGTGTGTGTGTGTGTGTGTGTGTGTGTGTGTGTGTGTGTGTGTGTGTCAGTGTCAACATCCTGGTCAAACTCTCCTGAATCTCTTATTCAGACTGTATTGGCTCTG